GCACGAGGGGAATCAGCACGCGGTTGCACATTGTTGGAAATTGTCAAAAAAAAATCGAAACACGGCGCACGCACTGTGGAGGCGGCAAGTTCACGCGCTGGATTCCCCCTGTCCCTCGTTAATGTGATCCAACATCGCAGCAGATGTAGCAGCACCTGGCCTCTATTCTCCCAAACCACCCACCCACCCACCGCCCCCCCCCCCGGCCCACCCGGCTGCACACCAAGTGCTCTGCGTGTTGGCTTATAGCGAACGTCCAAAATGTCAGGGGCATTGTGACACGGCATGCTGGATTGATTTCACCTCTGGATAAATGTGTCCTGATGTGCGAGCACTTTCAATATAAACGGGAGCTAAATATATTTCGCTCGCTGGCCACGCTAGTCCTGCCCGGAGCATGCAGTGGCAATGTTCCTAATTCGAGTCCTGTCAAGGGGTCAACTCAATGCATATCATCTCTCTGGGGGTGCGTAAAACCAGTGCAACTTTGTGGAAAGTCAGGTTTTTTGGAGAAAGGAGTTTCCCTGCCACGACAATTTTAGCAATTTTCATCACCGGGCGGTGGCCCACCAGCAGGGATAAGTCGCTGACCCAATGAAACTTTGAGCACCGATTCATTTTCACTTAATGTTGAGATTCAGTAAACTCTGAACATTGGCGGGGATACGTCCCTGGAGGACGGCGCGAATACTAAATGTGCAAATATTAAAACTCATAGTTTTATGAGGGAAATAGGGTTATGGGACGTAAACATTGATCACGTTTAAATGGAAACATATGAACTGTTTGTCTATATTGATGAAAACGTACTTTATATTGTATCATTGCGTTAGTGAACTTACCTTTAATAATTCTGAACGTTTACATAATTAACAGTGCAAATATCAATTAATCAATAAATACAGGCCGCAATTTTAAACAATTGTGAAGAAGAGTATACACACAGAGAGAGGCCGACTGAGTGGCATCACATGGAGGAAACTCCACACCACCCTCACCATCTACACCACCCTAACCATCCACTCATTCTCACCATCCACACCAACCCTCACCATCCACTCATTCTCACCATCCACACCACCCTCACCATCCACTCACTCTCACCATCCACACCACCCTCACCATCCACTCATTCTCACCATCCACACCAACCCTCACCATCCACTCATTCTCACCATCCACACCACCCTCACCATCCACTCACTCTCACCATCCACGCCACCCTAACCATCCACTCACTCTCACCATCTACACCACCCTCACCATCCACTCATTCTCACCATCTACACCAACCCTCACCATCCACTCATTCTCACCATCCACACCAACCCTCACCATCCACTCATTCTCACCATCCACACCACCCTCACCATCCACTCATTCTCACCATCTACACCACCCTAACCATCCACTCATTCTCACCATCCACACCAACCCTCACCATCCACTCATTCTCACCATCCACACCACCCTCACCATCCACTCATTCTCACCATCTACACCACCCTAACCATCCACTCATTCTCACCATCCACACCAACCCTCACCATCCACTCATTCTCACCATCCACACCACCCTCACCATCCACTCATTCTCACCATCTACACCAACCCTCACCATCCACTCATTCTCACCATCCACACCAACCCTCACCATCCACTCATTCTCACCATCCACACCACCCTCACCATCCACTCATTCTCACCATCCACACCAACCCTCACCATCCACTCATTCTCACCATCCACACCACCCTCACCATCCACTCATTCTCACCATCTACACCACCCTAACCATCCACTCATTCTCACCATCCACACCACCCTCACCATCCACTCACTCTCACCATCCACGCCACCCTAACCATCCACTCACTCTCACCATCCACGCCACCCTAACCATCCACTCACTCTCACCATCCACACCACCCTCACCATCCACTCACTCTCACCATCCACACCACCCTCACCATCCACTCACTCTCACCATCCACACCACCCTCACCATCCACACCACCCTCACCATCCACACCACCCTCACCATCCACACCACCCTCACTATCCACTCACTCTCACCATCCACACCACCCTCACCATCCACTCACTCTCATCATCCACACCAACCCTCACCATCCACTCACTCTCACCATCCACACCACCCTCACCATCCACACCACCCTCACCATCCACACCACCCTAACCATCCACTCATTCTCATCATCCACACCACCCTCACCATCCACTCACTCTCACCATCCACTCACTCTCACCATCCACTCACTCTCACCATCCACACCACCCTCACCATCCACTCACTCTCACCATCCACACCACCCTCACCATCCACTCACTCTCACCATCCACACCACCCTCACCATCCACACCACCCTCACCATCCACACCACCCTCACCATCCACACCACCCTCATCATCCACTCACTTTCACCATCCACACCACCCTCACCATCCACACCACCCTCACCATCCACACCACCCTCACTATCCACTCACTCTCACCATCCACACCACCCTCACCATCCACTCACTCTCATCATCCACACCAACCCTCACCATCCACTCACTCTCACCATCCACACCACCCTCACCATCCACACCACCCTCACCATCCACACCACCCTAACCATCCACTCATTCTCATCATCCACACCACCCTCACCATCCACTCACTCTCACCATCCACTCACTCTCACCATCCACTCACTCTCACCATCCACTCACTCTCATCATCCACTCACTCTCACCATCCACTCCACCCTCACCATCCACACCACCCTCACCATCCACACCACCCTAACCATCCACACCACCCTAACCATCCACTCACTCTCACCATCCACACCACCCTCACCATCCACACCACCCTCACCATCCACTCACTCTCACCATCCACACCACCCTCACCATCCACACCACTTTCACCATCCACACATTTTGTCAACGAGTGTCAGAACAGGGTAGTTTAACAGTATGTGAGCACGTCCTTAGTTTATGACAAGGGGAAGCCAAGCTATCCCAATTGATTTGCCCATGTATTGTATCACAATGTGCATATCGAAGTATATATTTCGAGATACATATGGTAGGTTTCGTATCAGAGTCTCGCCGTACACTTGAATGCACCAGGTAAGGCCCATATATCCATTTATAAATCTTGAGCAAGTGGTGGAGAGTCCACAATCTTGTGACGTAGGAGAGTCTATAAATAGAACAAACACGCTTTACTATCCACCAAACGGCGCTCCTTTCACCACCCATGTACGGGGTGACGAGTTAAAGTTAACTCTGACTGGGATTTGAACCCAAGTTCTTGAGATGATGCGCTCTGTGCTCCATTGACTGAGCTCGCCCAGTCGATCAAACGGGACTCGGGTGAAATAAAGCAGCATCGGCACATTTCCATAAGGTGAGCCAACTGATTTTTTTTTACTTTGAGCGGTGCTTGTGTATTAGTATTCGCAGTGTCTGCACGTGCAGAACTGTGTCTCTCCCTGAGGGCTTCCTTTCAGTTTACAAACACTCGGCTGACTGGAAAATTCCTCCGAGGATTTTGAGAGGGAGGGTTTTTTTTTCCTTTAACTTCTCAGCTTACAGTGGTTTGAGGAGCGCGAAACCCATTGAAAGGCCCTCTCTGCCTGTAATCATGTCCTCACGCGCTTTGTTGATGTTTCTTACTTCACCCCTTCTCTGTCCGGCCCCTTTCTGACCGCTTACGCTTCTCGTCTGTCTGTCTGTCTGGCGGTTTGTTAGTCTGTCTGGCTGTCTGTCTCTCTGTCAGATTGCTTGTCTGACTGTATGTCTGTCTGGCGGTGTGATAGGCTGTCTGGCTGTCTGTCTCTCTGTCAGATTGCTTGTCTGACTGTATGTCTGTCTGGCGGTGTGATAGGCTGTCTGGCTGTCTGTCTCTCTGTCAGATTGCTTGTCTGACTGTATGTCTGTCTGGCGGTGTGATAGGCTGTCTGGCTGTCTGTCTCTCTGTCAGATTGCTTGTCTGACTGTATGTCTGTCTGGCGGCGTGATAGGCTGTCTGGCTGTCTGTCTCTCTGTCAGATTGCTTGTCTGACTGTATGTCTGTCTGGCGGTGTGATAGGATGTCTGGCTGTCTGTCTCTCTGTCAGATTGCTTGTCTGACTGTATGTCTGTCTGGCGGTGTGATAGGCTGTCTGGCTGTCTGTCTCTCTGTCAGATTGCTTGTCTGACTGTATGTCTGTCTGGCGGTGTGATAGGCTGTCTGGCTGTCTGTCTCTCTGTCAGATTGCTTGTCTGACTGTATGTCTGTCTGGCGGTGTGATAGGCTGTCTGGCTGTCTGTCTCTCTGTCAGATTGCTTGTCTGACTGTATGTCTGTCTGGCGGTGTGATAGGCTGTCTGGCTGTCTGTCTCTCTGTCAGATTGCTTGTCTGACTGTATGTCTGTCTGGCGGTGTGATAGGCTGTCTGGCTGTCTGTCTCTCTGTCAGATTGCTTGTCTGACTGTATGTCTGTCTGGCGGTGTGATAGGCTGTCTGGCTGTCTGTCTCTCTGTCAGATTGTCTGTCTGACTGTGTGTCTGTATGGCTGTGTGTTAGTCTGTCTGGCGGTGTGTTCGTCTGTCTGGCTGTCGATCAGATTGTCTGACTGTATGTCTGGCGGTGTGATAGGCTGTCTGGCTGTCTGTCTCTCTGTCAGATTGTCAGTCTGACTGCATGTCTGTCTGATGGGCTCTCTGGTTGTTTAGCCTCCCTGTCTTTATCCGTTTCTCTGTGTGTCTGCTTCCCTCCCTCACTCTGTCTAATACGTGCGTTTGGATACCCAATTCTCTCTCTGGTCAGAACTCTAATTGTCCGTCTGTCTGCCTGCTTGTATGTCTTTCTAGATGTCGAGCTGTCGAGTTGTCAGAGTGCCCTCTCTGTCTGTCGGTCTGTGTTCATTTGTATGTGCATGGGTAACTTTGTTGTCTGTCTGTCTGCATGCCTTCAAGTGTATTTTTCTGTATGTCATCCAGAAGCTGTTGCCTCGCAAGTAGCTTGGTGTCTAATGGACTACGTCTGGACACAAATTCACCCACCTACGGAGAAATACCAGGTAATGTTTACATTAAGTCATTGTTAATGCTTATCTTCAGTCACTTAGCACATACACAATTGGTGCGTTTAAAAGGCAGCCTTTTCTATTTAAATAGCTCATACCTTTTAACAACGTGGATCTGTTCTTAAACAACCCCATATAACTTATGGCTATTCATCCAAACAGTCATTTTGTTTTATTTAAGTGCACATACCGTGTATTTTGGACATTTCACCTTGAATAAACTCGTCAAATGTTTTTTTTTAAACAAACGTTAAGGTACAGCGCTGCAATGTCTAGCTCACGCCACTGCTGGCCACAACGGCCTCGACAAGAGGGAGCGTTCGAGAGCCCCTTTAGAGTACATTTGCCTACTTGTCCACTGGACAAGGTGTCTTGGCAGAGGTGGGAATACCCACACTTGACCCCACCACTTCACCCCACCCCCCCGCCCCCCACACGTGAGGGGCCGTCCATAAATGACGTCACGCACCTGGGGGGTCGGGGTCAGACATTTGTGACGATGTGTGACGAGGGGGTGGGGGTTGAGTAATGTGACATCACATCAAAATACGCAATTTTAAATAAATATAGACAACACGTTCTACTTAATTGAATAGACTTTTCATAAATGTTTCCTCCTACAACATCAGAGTGCAGCGCCACATTAAATACGCACTACAATGACAATAGTTTAAAGCGATTTAAAGCATGTTTTATTTTTTAAAAAAATGGGGGGGGGGGGCAGAGATTTGTGACGTCATATTTGAGGGGGGGTCTGACTTTTTGTGACGCCGTGTGACGAAATGGGGGGGGGGCGGGGGGTCAAAAATCGTCCAAAACAGCGAGACGTCATTTATGGACGGCGGCCCCTGACCTGCCGATGGACTAACCGTGATGGAAGCCATTCAAACTGCTGGGTGGACAGAGGTGGGGAGAATTAAGGAACTGCCGAGCCAGGAGGTCAAACTGGTGACCTCTAAATTGCAAGTCCAGTGTGCTTTGTCGTGGATGCGACTTTGATGGCAATGTTGACAGGGGAGAATAAGTAAAGCAATTGAGAGTTGGAAATAAGCATATCATTCCTGTTTTGCCGCTGTCCGTGAGGTGACGCGGAATGCACGACATCAACAATGACGACGTATATTAGGACGAGCACGCAGCGGTTGTGAATGGATAAAATGAACGGGAAGAGAGCGAATCCTCCGATGCACATACGATTAGCAAGCCCCTTGCGACGACGACGACGACGACCGGTCGCCGCGCGTTGTTTTGTGCTCGCAGCGAGACTGCTGCATGTGCCGCGGCGGCGAGAACGCCGCTCTTCATCGCGGTTGAGATGCGGTGCACCACAACCATATGCGGACGCTGACACGAGCGCGGTTGGCACGAGATGCTAGGGGGATGCACGTGGCGCGGGAACAAACGCGCCACGGAAATCCACATGGCACACAAACCCACGTGGCAGCGCCTTGAGATGGGGGCAGTTTGTTCTATTTCTGCGCACGCGCGCGCCTATGTAGCGGCCACTTGTTTGCGTCCGTAACGGTGGTTTTCTTAGGGACGGTGCAGGCCACGATCCCTTCTTGGGTTGATGAAAACCGTTGTACCACGTTGTGGAAAGTCTCAACAGGGGTAATCCTGTCGAGAGGCTGGTGCCGGCCATGGAAATGTGACATTTCCACCACCGATTTCGAGCCACAAATGCATGTGAACGATGCCTACTCTTCATTTGGATGTATTCCATGTCATCATCATCATTGTCACCATCATCAGCCATGATCGATCTACTGCTGGGTGAAGGCCTCCTCCAAGCTGTGTCCCACCTCTCACAATCTTGTGTTGTAATGGTCCACCTAGCACCAGCACGAGATGATTTAATCGTTCAGTCCGTATGAATGTCTCGTGTCCACCTCCAGCTCAGGACCACCATGAACACCTACCAAAATGCTGCTTTTAAAGGGATACATTTTGACTGTGCGAATGCATTTTCTGCACTATTCATGAAAAAATGACACCTGCAAAATGTTTTTTTCTTATATGTAAATACTGACTGTTACTTTTTTTCAACTTTTGTAACAAACAAGATGCTGGGTACATTGGCATACTCTTCCTTTCCGGCCAGACATGTGGGAGTTACTCACACTTTACCCCACCACTATACACGACCTGCCCTTCGACTCACTTGCCCACGCCGCGAGATGGAACCGGCAACCTCTGGGGTGCAAGTCCAGGGTGCTGACCATCGCTAACCATAGCTGACCATTACCCTTCAATAATTCCCATACCACTGCCATATGTCCACTGTTGAGCAGGGTGACGCAGTACACGACCACATATGAAACGTTGCCTTGGAAATCAATCTGGAGACAGAGCTGCATTCTCATCACGACTGGCTCAGTTCTTTGACATCAGTATTGTCTCCCTGAGCCAACCAGCAGAAACCTCACGAGCAAACATTTCTAAGAGATTTTGCAGAGCATATGAAATGCCCAGAGGGAATGTATTGTGCAAGCGGAGTAGCCTGTCTCAAAGGATAAACCAAACCGCTTGCTTTTTTTTACCACATTATCAAACCAACATCGATCAATTCAATGCGCCAAATGAAAATCTGCTTCCCTGAATACAAAGCCTGCTGTTAAATCGCAGCTCCCAGCTGCAGGTTGATATATAATCATTACAGTTTTCAAATCCTCCCCTTTTGTACGCTGGGATCCATCGATTAAAATAGTACAGCTTTGCAAAATGCACCACGCATCGTGAAGTGCCAACAGGCTTCGGGGGAGGCCTTCATGCAGCAGTGACTTGGTTACGGCTGCTGCTGCTGGTGGCGATCATGAAGTGGCCTGGGTCAGGGGTCTCCCCCACCTCCCCCACCTCCCCCACCTGGAGGTGAGTGGATTCCAACGCGGGTGAGCGTTCGCTAGAGGGCGCTATGGTGGTGTGCATTGTTCTCGGAAGGACTCTTTTTAAAGTCTCACATTAAGAGAGCGCTGCAGAACAAATGGCCTAAGGCATATGCTTACAGAATAACAGTGGTTTTGTGTGTTTGTTTTCGTGTTGCAACTTTCACTTTTACACGGTCGAATGGAATTGCCTGATTTATGCGATGGCCCTTCTCATACCACATCCCTTCTTACTCAGTGCCGGATTATCCTAGTAGCAAAAGTAGCTACATATGGCTACGGGCCCCGCACTTTCAAGGGTCCCGCGCTGAATGTTTTTAAACTATTAATTTCGGTTCAGTGATTCTGCACTTGCTCTATTACTATAGTACTATACCGCCTTCAACTTTTATGAACGACTCGGTGTTTAAGGTTAGCGATTTGTCGTATTATCTGGCTGTATAGCAAATAGAAAAAATACAATTACGGTACTCTAGTTAAAAATGTGTGTGGTTTAATATTTTAGTTTTTTTTTGTAGGACCCCTTTATTGCATATGCTACAGGCCCCGCACTCTTTTAATCCAGCACTCTTCTTACTGCCGAACATCTGGCTCCACGACTGCTCTCACTGCCAGTTGTGCATCCTTGGCCGAATGCATGCGCAACCACCTTCAATGGATTAATAGGCCTGCTTAGCTCAAGACGGATGTTTTGTTTGGAACAAAATAAAAAAATGGCTCTGAGTGTTTGGACAGATGCTGCTGGGGAGGTTTTTTATATTTGTATACGTACATTTTCCAGTTTTTTGGGTGATCGTTCAGTCTGTTGGGCGCTGCTCTACTCGTAAGGGACTGCCTTCAAGAAGATTGCTTTTCCTTAGAGCGTCTCCTCTGGGTGCATTACACTGGCAAAGTCCGGTTGCAGGAAGCGAACGGAAAGTATTTTCGTGGACCGATCCAAATCTCTCAAAAATTATACACTTAACATTCGGAAGCTTGTATAAAGCTGGGTGCTGTTGGTGGCACCACGACTCGAGCTAATGCTGTTGCTTTCATGCATGCACAGCACGGGTCTTGGGCAGATACATTTCCCTGTATGGGCTCAACAGTCAAACGAACTAACACGTATGTCATCGTAGTCACTGTTATGATTCCTAGTCGATTTTTGGTGTCTTGATTGCTAAACTTTGGGTTGTGAGAAATTATTTTACCACTGACCGGTGAAATGAAACGCATTCAGGTCACCCTTGCAAAGTTTACAATGCAGTGTCGTGAGTCTCAGATGGTTGATTCCATCTGCTGGTTTTATAATGGTTACACTATTATTTGTGGGCAGGTAGCGACCTGGCCACAAATGATAGCTGAACGAATTGGCTTATCACGTGGAAATGTGTTCCAGCCAAATACTCTAAACGCAACTTTCTAAATGTGGAGGGAAACATCGGAGGGCCCTCGGAGACAAAGCCACGTGACCACGGGGAGAACATGCAAACTCCAAATATACAGCAATCAGAGTTGGGATGGAACCCACGATTTTTTGCATGCGTGAATCTGTGCATGAAGAGGATACCTTGGAATACCATGGCAGGATAGGAGAATAAAGTTTGTAAGATTAAAATATAACCTGTCAGAAAGCATTGTAGATGAAATCAGAACACGGAGGTTGCAATAGGTGTGGGACACATGCGCAGGAGGGCAGGTTACTGAGGCACGCATCATGGTTTATTCCAAGAAGTTGGTGGCCAAGCAAAGACCTCAATTCAGCCAGTGTGATATTTTAAGAGCAGACTTTGGAAGTCAGATGCCAACTGTATGAGAGAAGAGATATGTCAGAAGGAAGGAAGTGATGGCAAGAGGACAACGCATCTGTTGCATAATCACAATGACCTCTTGATCTGACGCGAAACATACATGATACCGAGTGAAGTTTTTTTTTTCCCTGAATGACTAATGAACTATAATATTTTAAGAACAACAATAATAATAGCCATTATTATTTATCACAGCTGAAAGCACCCTCTGATTTTCCACATGGCCACGTGGTTGGGCACATTGCGATGGTCATTGTGCCGAGTTTGCTACACCAGTGTGTGTGTGTTGCCCTCTGCTTCCGCTACTAAGCAGTGATTCATT